ATTTCCCACCCCAAACCAGGCAATCCTTAATGGAGTTTGAGTAATGCCAAACTTCCCTGGGAAAACTGGGGAGAAGAGCTAGGGGTGTGGTCTGCAGCTGAGTGTGCCCCATGCAGCATGCAGCAGCTGGGCACAAGGGAGATACCATTCCATGGAGCTGACAAGGGCTGAGAGCAGGAGCCCAGGGAGGAGCAGTCTGTCATATCCCAAAGAAAAGCTGGACACATTGGGTGGTTTTGAGCACCATTTTACTGAAGAGCTGGACACCTGCTAGGACTTCATAACAAAAAGTTCACTTCATTTAAGAAAAAAAACAGTCTGTTTTTTGTCCCATTCCCTTACGAAGAGTGGAATAATACTAACTCTGTCTTTTCACTAAGCAATGCCATTCCAAAATATACAACATTGAGTGTGGAACAGCCCAGCTTCATATTAACATTAAATATTATTAGAACTTCAGAAACATTCTACACAAACAAATGAAACAGTAAAAAGTTCACTCAAGAACAAGATGGTCATTTGTAAAATCATCATACAAAGTTGGTTACTCGCCCTTCTGCAGGTTGCAGCTGCTACTCCCCAGCCGTTGCTTGGGATGCCCAAACACCAGGGAATGCCACAGTGGAGCCCATGGCATGGTCTCAGCCGGAGCAGGTCGGTCATGCTGTGGTGTGGAGATGGCTCTCGTGGAGATGCTGGCTGGCAGAGAGTAGCACAAGTGGCTGAGCAGTGCCCACCCAGAGCTCTTGTGTCACTCAGAGCAGCTGCCGTGCCTCTGCTCAGAAAATGCTACTCCTCAGGAGTGCTGCACCTGGACCCAGGAGGAGGGAGGACATCATATGGTGCCTTCCCCTCTATGAACAAACACCGGTACTCGTTTTGTCCCAATCCAAGCCTGGGCAGTGCAGCGGAGCAGGGGCAGGAGGGGAGGTATTTCTGGGGGTAGCTTTGCAGGCACCTTCTCTTGAAACAGCACCATGTGCCTGACTGTGTCTGTGGGAATCACCAGACACTCACAGGGGCTGCCTGTAGCCACAGGAACACAGGAACGGAAGGGACTAATTAAGACAATAAGGAGAGAGTCCCAGACGATAATAAGGCCTTTAAGGGACTCCCTGGGGAAGGTATTTCAGAGGCCACATGAGCAGTGCCAGATTGTGAGACCGACGAAGGATGGAAATGAAGGGTTTGGAGTCTCCAACGGGACTCCTCACCTACAGCAACAGTGTTCATGTACTGCTGCCAGGCAGGGCAGGGGAAGCTCTGTGGCCAGGCAAGGATGGAGGGAAGACAGTGCTGCAGAATGCCACAGCCTTGGCTCCTCTGTTTGCACATCTCCTACAGCAGACACAGAAGCTGCAGGCCGCTGGCTGTCCAGGTGCTGCTGGCATCTTTAGCTTTCCCCACTCCCAGCTTCTCGCTTTTTCACCAGACTTCCTTGGTGTTCCCAAGCAAAGGGAGGGGTCTGGCCTCAGCACCATGCCTTTGGAGGCACCTGCTGGCCAACTTGCAAGTTCCAGCAGTCACACCTACAGACAAACTTCAGTCCACACTCAGGGATGACCTAGTGACAAAGGCTGGCCTCTCATGTCTTCTGGGACAAGATTCCTCCAAGGCACCTGGCACCTTCCTGACAGCATCTTGCTCCAGGCAGAACAGGCTGCAAGGAGAGGGAAAATCTAGTATGCTGCTCTCTAGCAGAGAAACAAATGTGAAGGTTCAGGAGCATCCTGCCCTGATGTGCTCTCCACACACGTGGGTTGTGCCAGCCCACGCAGCTGGCAAAGCTGACTGGCTGCAGCATCGTCAGGAAGGTGCCAGATATCCTAAAACTGCTGTCCTCTCTGTGGGCCACCTCAGTTTCTGTAAGGCCATGCCCATCTGAGCACAGGAACAGAGGCCAATGCCATTCTGAAGACTGTGTCACTTCCACACAAACCAACCACCCTGGCTGAGCAGCCAGTGCTCCACAGCTCAGCACTGACCTTGCCAACCACGGCCAAAAAAAGGATCCTCCCACTGAAATCTGCCTTCCTGACTGGGAAGCTGCCCAGCTCGAGTCACACTGCCCAGCTGGAGCTGAGAGACAAACCTGCTCTCCATACCCAGGGATCCCTTGAGCCATGGCCAAAGCCTCAGCTCCTAGACAGGGCAGGGAACTTGGATCCAAAGGGAAAGAACTGCTGGGGTGACCGAACTCCCCACATGCTGTCAAGTTCTGGTCATGAACACGGCACAAACTCTGTGCTCAATTCCAAAACCCAGAGCCTCCCAGCCCCTCTTGCCACAGCTGAAGCTGGGGTGGAGAAGTGCTCCTGGTATACCAGGGGGGCCTGGAGGAGAGGGTGCACAACATGGGCAGCTTTGCAGCAGGACCATGGAGCCACATGTGCAACATCACCCATCTGTGCTGCTCTGCTGCCGATTCCCCTGCCATGTTCTTAGCTGGCAAATGGCTGAACTCCATGCAAGAAAGCACCAGGTAATGGAGAGGATCTCAGCCCACTAACCCCACCCCACCAGTTAGTATGAACTGCTCCGAGATCTGTCCAGTGAGGTGAGCACTCCAGGGAGCACACCTCCTCCACACACTGAAATACCACTCATGGGCTGCCGAGCAGGAGCAACAAAATAATCTCTTCTTATTTTGCAAAAAAAGTGTTTAAGAAATTTTGTACAAGGATTGCGACAGCAGCTGGCTCAGGGGGGATGCAAATAGTTTAGAAGCAGCAGCAGCAACATGCTACATGGCTTGCAGGGAAGAGGCTGAGGAGAAACTTCTACAGCCATAAGGAGGGGCAGATGGTGAAATCCGATCACAGTGGATATGAGCTTCAGAATATTTCTACCAATTAACATTGTGATTTCAATGGTATCTGATGTCAGTTTCAGCTGCCTGCTGGACAAGCTACGCTCCCCATGGACCTTGCTGACGGACATCTGAAGCATGCAGGAAGCTCAAGGACCTTGCCTGGTGGAGGGGAAGCACAAACTGCTTCTTGGCAGCTGAATAAAAGGAGAAATTATTTCAAAAAAAATCAGTTGGAAGAACAGCCCTTTGACCGCTAGCTGAATCGTTTCTCAAAGTGACAGTGGCACAAATCCATGCATTAAAAGCATTCCTAAGAGAGTCTCCAAAGCTCTCGGCTGTCACAGTGCCCAGAACAACACAGGCCAGGTTAGGCACTTGGATGAATTCAATGACTAATACAGAAACAGGTCTGAACAAGGTGCATACTACATGCTCAGGAGAGGCCACAGTGCTCTGGGCAATGCATTTCTATGGGCCCTGCCAGTTACTGTTGCACACTTCCCTGGAACTGTTACTCAGCTGCCACAGAATGACACAGGATGGAAGGGACCTGTGAGGGAGATCTCTGGTTAGATCAGGTCTTAGGTAGCTCTGGTTTGATCAAGTCCTAAATCTTCCCTAATCAGCAGAGAGCAGCATCCACACAGAGCCCCTGTGCAGCCTTGTGCACATCAGTGTTACATGCCCAGGACACCAGGAGCATCCACACCTGGGTATGAGTTGAAGGATGGTGGAGCCAACCCATGCCAGACTGAGGAAGCCCCTCTGCCAGTACTGCCTGATGAGCAGCAGTTGCTGGCATTGGTACAGAGGCTGTAAAGCTCCTCTGTAACAACTTGCAATCTTTTCAGTCAAGTTCACGGAGCATCTGCAAGAGGAAGAGATAACAAGAGGGCAAAGAATTGAGGTGCAGCATTCATGGCCTATCACTCAGGGCCCTGTGGTCTGTTAGAGATCTGCAGGAGAGCTGACAGAGATGGGACTGGTGATGAGCAAGTCCCTGAGCACACAGCTATGGAGTGCTCACTTCCCTGGTAGGAGTCTCAGTGACACAGAGGCGTTTCCAAAGCTTGTCTCTCCCTATGGAGCAGAAAACCTTTTGCTGGTGGCCTGGGAAGGACACAGGGCAAACACAGGACCAAGCATACACAGAACTCAGTTCAGTGGTGGAAAAGGCATGGCAGCACTAAGGCTGGATGCTGTGCTGGATGCGTTAAGCAACAGTACAAGTCAAATCCTTGATTGAGACCTAAGCTGTGAAAGATAAGAGGTGATGGAAAAGAATGGGGAAGCAGGCAGCAGTGCAGCTGGGGGAAGACACGCAGTGATGAGGAGGGATGTGGCCTGGTAAGTTGGCCTCAGGTGCTCAGCTTCCTGCTCAGGCTGGAGGAAAAGCGACCTCGACCTGGATTCAGCTTTGTTGAGGCACGTTGTTTTTCCCAGTGGAGGCCAAGTGCTCAGCTGGGACGTCTGTGCTGCATAAGGAGGCTCCAAAGACAGTTCTCAGTGCCCTTATAAGGGTCTGGGAACGGGGAAGCTGCTGAGCAGCCTGACACCAATACCGCAGGCAGAAGTTCATGAGCCCTCCTCGGGAAACAGCCCAAAAGAGAAACAGCAGTGCAGGACTTCAAGACCTGGCATTTGAGAGTGTGGGAATAAGAAAGGTCTGAAGGAGTGGGAACAAAAGGAGCAAAGCAATTTTTGGCCAACTGACAGTGATGGAGAGCCCCTGTTCATCCAGCACCAGGTCAGGACAGGGAACTCTCTGCCAGGGCATTTTAAAACACAGAAGCAGAAGAAAATATTTCCTCCTCCTCCTCGGCAGCCAAGCAGTGGCATTCACAGGTCAGTCTCAAACACTGCAAGTTACGACCTCTGACAGCAACTCAGAACCCAAGAGTGGGGTTCAGGGCTTGCAGTCATGCCCTGAATCATAAAATCACAGAAGGGTTTTGTTTGGAAAGGACCTTAAAGATTATCTTGTTCCAACCAACCTGCCATGGGCAGGACACTTTCCACTAGAACAGGTTGCTCAGTGAAAGAGAACCTCCACCCTGCTCTATGTGGGTGAGAGGAGAACCCAGATGCACCTCAGAGTGCTCAACTTCCCTTCCCTCTCACCCCGTCCTGAACCTCCTCTCTTCTCTCCATACCACAGTCTTCCTTTCTGCGCTGTGGATCAGACACCAACTCCTCTTATAAACCACTGAAATTCAACCAGGTGCTTGAGGGGTGGGGCTTAAATGTAAGGAGCTGAGACTTCCCTGGGGAGCTCATCCCTTCAGCCAATGTTCACAGAGATTACTAGGTCAGACAACTGGTATTTTGAGCTGGTGAGAGAATGAGTGGATTATACACTATTGCTGCAGAGATCTGAGCATACAGTGGCGCTGTACGGAGCCCAGATCAACACCTCTTCCTTTCCCCTGGACACCAGGTTGTCCCTTCCAGGTGACAGCAGCAGCACTAACTGCTCCAATGAGGTGTTTCTCATGGGATTAGTAGATCCCTCCCTGTGGAGCACAGAGCCATGTTCCGATCCGACAGCGTGCCCCTGGTGCAAGGAGGTGACAGCAGCCATCTGCAGTGGTTCTGCAGTGCCTCCTGGGGACTGCACTCCTGCACTCCTTCCACACAGAGCTCTCAGACCTGCCACACACCTTCTCACAACATCCCTGACAGCAAAACAAGGCTGCCACCCATCACAACATGGTGCCCATCTCTCCTTCTACTGCTTCATCCCCACAAACCACAGAAAGCGACTCTCTATGTTTAAGTGCTGGTATATGCCCTCCCAAATTTTTCGCTTTTCTGCTTTAACTCAGGCTCAAGTATCCCACTGAGCTCTGGGACTAGCAGGATGTAGCTAATACATTCAAACACAGCCTGTGTCTCTGTTGTGGTTTAACTCCAGCCAAAACCAACAGTCTTCTCTACCAGCACCTGGAATCTGCTCCTGGAACACCCAGCAGTAGAAAAGCAGTTACATGGTAGGCAGGACACTACACAATTCTTGCTAACATTTCCAGCCTTTTGGCTCCAAGTCACAGTTCATGATCCATAGCTGCACCTGGGGTGTAGGACAGCAGAGTAATGCTGGGTGCTGAGGAAGAATCCTCTTCGGAGGGAAATCCCTACCATGAGTTCAAAACTTCTGCTACCCACAAAGGGAGGAGGCGCCTAAAGACGACAGACAGACTTGCAGCCCTGTGACACTCCCCCACTGTTATGCAGAGGTAATACCAAAAACAGGATTAAAACTACCAGCTGGTAATTCTCCAAATTGTTTGGCATTCTGGAGACAAACAAGTGGCTACAACACTGCTGCCTCTGAGCTGCTCAAGGAAGCCCAGGACAGGCTGTCACAACACTGAACCACAAAGGAATCCTGGCACCTTTCAACAAAAGACTAGCTGGAGGGAAGAAGGAACAAAAGCTATCAAACCCAATCCCAAAGGGATGGAGGAAGTGCATCTTCCCACAGTTCCTGGGCCATATGCACATATATGGATATATAGATATATAGATAATAAAGTTATAAAATTTGATCAAAATAAAACCAGTAAATGTACAGCTTGAAAAAGAGCAATATCACAGTGCATCAATGTCATGAGAAAGTCCTATGTTCTCCCCTGCACAAGAGCAGGTTCAGGGGCACGTGGTGGGAAGTGAGCTCTCCAGCCTGCTCAGATCGATGCAGGCCAGAGTCGCCGTCCTGCACTCCCAAACAGGCGTTTGGATTTCTGCAGCCAGTTCTGCACAGCAGTGGCAGACAGGCAGTAACAGCATGAGAGTGGGCTGCTCTGTCTGCAGGTAAGTCAGCATACTGGCACCAAAGACAGAGTCACTCCTAAACCTCTCTGTGCTCTGGTGCCGGGCTTGTATTTACTTACTTACAAAAAAAAAGTGACAAAGTGAAGAAACTCAGGGAACACTATGAGATTGGGACAAGGGCTGAATTTGGATCACAGGGGACAGGTTGACCCTAAGAATCTTCTGTGCTCTCCTCCTCACTTCATCATCAGAGGAAGAGCTGCCCACCTTGATGGTCCGGAATTTCAGCAGGTTCAAAGTGCTCTGAGCCTGCCGAGTTTTCTTTCGGACAGGAATGGTATTTGCTTTTTTCCTCTGTGGTGCTTCTTTTGCCTCTGTAGCTCTTCTCTTCTTCTGCCCAGTGCTCTCCTGGTAAGCGCTGCTGTCCTTCCACTCTGTTTTTCCCAACAGAGCTTCCTTATCTTTGATTTTCAAGGTCTTGGGCTGTGGTGCTGTGGTGCAGTCCTGGGATGAGCTGCCTGTGACTCTCCCGTTGAGAACTCCGGAGGCCTTGCAGGCGTTGCTCTCCTGCAGCACTCCACCCTTTGGTCCCTTCAGAAGCTTTAAAGCACGGGTGGCAGAATCTGGTGCTTTCTTAACCGAACGCTTGTACCCCTTGCCTTCGGTTATTTTAGTGCTCTTGCCTGAAGAAAACTGTCTTGGTGGACTTGAAGTCTTGAGGAGTTTAAGGTCTGAGGGAGAGATCCCAAGACGCCCTTGTGTGTACTTGGACTCCAAACAGGACGTTGCAGTTTTCAGTGGCACCAGGGCTTCCAAAACCACTGACAGTCTCATAGCTGGATACACGTCAGGATACATGCTTGTAGGGAAGCCCACGGCTGCTGCCTTGGATGTGCCAGATCCTGTCTGCTTCAAGGAGCTCAAGAGGAGATTTGTGGAATCCCCTTTGGAGACTGGCCGACTGGAGACTTTCAAAGAGCTCACTGGAATGCTGGTGGGAAAAGGGGCCACTTTTGCCACCGAGTTCCTGGCTGGACTCTGAGTGGGCTCAGTGGTGCTGGCACAGTTGCGCTGTGTGTTTTCTTCCATCTGACTTGGTGTGACTGCTGTGCACGAGCTATACCCGTACACATCCTTACTCCTCAAAATTGTGGGCTGGTAGCCCTCCTCCTTCAGGCCTTGGATGAAGGCCACCAGCTGGGTCTCTGTGTCTGAAAGGTCCTTGGACATCGGATTGAAGACTCGGAGGGCTTCCTCCAGTACCTTCTGTCCTGCAGAGGAAATTCTTGACCAGGAATGGACAGCTTTTTCTTCCTCATTGCTCACTGCAATATTCATGGCATTAGGCAAGCAGGTGCTTCAAAAAGGTCCAAATTACTGGAAAAACAACCCTTGACACCTCAAAAGGAGAAAGAAGACAGTTAGCTTACAGCAACTGAAATTGCCCAAGTTTCTAAACTGGGAACTGGAACAATTAAGCCCAGGCGTGGCTGGTTGCAAACACTGGGTCAGATTCTGGGCTCAAGCAAAGAGAGAAGTGCCAGCAAGAAAATCCTGTCACTCATTCATCTCTGAAATAAAACTAAAACATCTCTCACAAAAATATCTTCCAACCTAAACAAAGACTTCAGGAAATCCCGTCCAATCCACCCCAAGATGAAGGACTCCAACAGTTAACACAGCAAAATCTGCAGCTCGTTTCCAGTTTGAGTTTGGCCCACCCCAGCTTCAGATCACCGCATCTCATTTTCCCTGGGAAAAACTGAACCCTCAACGAACCCTTTCCCTGTGCACACACCACAAGCAGCACCATCGAGCCATCTCAACACTAAGAAATGCCTAAGCACTTCAACTGCATCCCAGCACCACCTTCAATTTTTCAGCTTCTTAACTGATGAGGCTCAAAAATTGATTCTGAGTCCCTGCCAAAGCTGCAGCTTCCTCCTGGAGACCTGGCAGCAGGGCTAGAGGCTGTTCCAGTTGTGCTTCATTGATGCTGAATGCTGTGGCAAGGCAGCACTGCTCCTTGCTGTTCCCTTGTTTGAACAACGGTGCACAACTTGCTGTCACAGCAAATTGGTGTTGATCCAAGGATACTTGCTGCCAAGTGAGGAGGAAGCAGGAAATTCAAGCAGGGCGGTATGAAGGAAACACACATCACTAGGGCCAAGTGTACAAAGGCCTGAGGGACAACACTGGGATCACACTCGGGGCACTGTGCAGCTGCCTGCCCAGCATAAAAGCATCAATTATTGCTTTCAATAAAAAACAGGCACTAAAGGGCAGCCCAGGGAGGACATGAAGGACAGCCTAGGCAGGACTTTAGGATGCACCCGAGAGAACTCTGATCCTGGTGGCCTCACAGCTCCACAGCTGGATGCTAGACCAACAAGGCATAAAATCTTTAGCTTTATTGATACCGCTCAAAGTAATAATGTAGATTCATTTAAAAACCTTGATCAGGGAATGCAGGAGGTGTCAGAGACAGTTTTGAAGAGGGCAGTGCACAGTCAAGAAAGCTGTGATGGAGAAGTTAGTGCCTGAGCAGACAGAACAAGGAACGACTCATGTCCCATGTTCCCCCCAGAACTCTGGTCTCACCGCAGCACAGGAGCAGAGCCTGTGCTGCCGCCAGCTGCACAAACAGGGAAGAGACACAAGGCAAGAGCAGCCACAGAAGGGAAAGCACAGGTCAGTGGGGGAGTAAGAACCTCCACATGACAGACTAATCTCAGTCAAGTGCTCTACAGACGTCATGGCCAAAGAGGGATTTGGAGGAGGATAATGCAGTTGTTCAGAGGCAGGCGGGGGATCTCCCACGAAGGAGGGGAGGCAGGCAGGGAAGTGATCTTACAGAGCCCCAGCCAGTGTCACCAGGCAGCAGGGAGTCATCATCTCCAAAGTGACCAAGCAGCGCCAGGCACGGGAAAGCCAGAGAGTGTGTAATGTTAATTTTGATGTGATAGTGAAGCAGAGATCAACGAAGAAGCACAAATAACAACGTGTGCTCAATGGGCTGCAAAATGGATCATCTTCAGGCTGCAGCAAGCCCAGGAGCAGGGATATCTGAAGGGGTGTTCTGGCTGTGACATTTCATGGGAACAGGACTTTCCAACATCCATCCACTTGATCCTGTTTGGTGCAGTGCCAGGTGTATTGGAGGAAAGCCAGCCACTAGCAGACGCACCCCCGGACAGTCTGCCCTCCCAACAGCAGGTTCCCTCACATGACACACTGCTGGGGGACCAGAAGGCTATGGGGACACAGCGCTCCCGGCACCGGAAGGGCGATGCTAGCTCGGATTTAGAGGCCCGGCTGTCCGAGCACAGAAAGGACTCTCCGGGTGCATCACAGGGGGAAGCGGCTGCCGGCAGGGCCGAGACGCGGGCCTGGGGCAGTCTGTAGAGCTGGAGGCCGATGCGCAGTCCCAAGGAGGGCTCGACGGGGTGGCCAGGTCCTCGCACAGCCACTCCTTTTGGCCCGCCCCTCGGGGCAGGCGATGCCCCTTCCCGAGCGCCCGTGCCTCGCTCCCGCTGCACCCTCCCCAAGGCTCGGCCCGCAGGGACCCCGGGATGGGCAGGCCGCCTGGGCCGGCCCCTCCCTGCAGGGCTACGGGAGGTGATTGGTGCAGACAGGGGGTGCGGCACCCGCGCTCGGCCCGCGCCGGCTCCCGGGACCGGGGGGGCGGGGCCCTCAGCGCCGCGGCCCCGCCTCCAGCGCCCCGAAGCCGCCCCAGCGGGCGGCTCGGCAGCGCCCTCGCCCGGGAGTCGGCATGGGGCCCAGGCCCGCCGGCCCCAACCTACCGGCTGCCGCCAGACCCGCGCCCGCCGCTGCGCCGCGCCCGCCGCTCCAACATGGCCGCCCGCGGGGCGCCGGAAGCACCGCCCGCTTCCGCTTCCGTTCCGCGAGCCGCGGTCACGCCCACAGTAGCGGAGCATATTCGGTCACGCCCCCGCGTACCGCCCCGCCCCCGCGGTGTCCACGGCAACGGCGGCGCGGGCCGTCCCCGGGCCGGCAGGGGGCGCCGCCGGCGGAAGCGGCGCGGGCGGAAGCGGCACCGTCACCAGGTAACGGGGTCGGTGTCGGGGCGATGAGCGGCGGGGCCGGGCGACGGCGGCGCCTGGTTCTGCACGTGGACCTCAACAACACGGTGGTGGTAGCGGACGCGGTGACGGGGCAGGCCCCGCGAGCGGCCCTCAACACCTTTCTCAGCACCGTCACCTGGGGCCATGCCGGAGCTGCCGGTGAGCGCCGGGGCCGGGGGTACGGGGGACCCGGTGTGGCAGTGCGGGGGCTGAGCACGTTCCTCTCTTCTAGGCGAGTGGGAGTGGGTGAGCGACTGTCCGTCCCTGCGCCCCCCGTGCCCCGGCGCACTCAGCTACTACAGCCGCCACGGCCGGGACCCCGCCTTCACCGAGGCCGGGCCGGGCCGGCGCTTCCGCGACCTTCACGCCCGCCACCTGCGACTGCTGGAGTGGCCGGGCCGGCCTCATGACGCCTTGTCGGTGCCAGGGGAGCCCGGCAAACGCTACCACCTGATCCTGCCCTCCTTCTTCCGTCTCCTGGACACGCTGCACCGTGATGGCAGGGCCTTCGCTGTTGTCTTCAGGACCTTCGGCACCGACCTGCCCCGCGCCCTGCAGGCCGTCAGGAGCGCTCTGGACGGGCAGCACCCCCAGTTCCCTGCCCTGCGGGACGTGGCGGTGAGTGGCATCCTGAGGGTCCGTCGTGATGGGGAAGGGTAGCTGGATGGTCCCACAGAACTCCCCCCACGTCAGACTGTTCTGCAACTGCTTGGCCAGACTGCTTTTAAAAGCGTCGAGTTCTCTGAATGAAGCTGTTAGCTGTGGGGGAGCATGTGTGTGCACATACTATGTGGAATGGGATCCTCTTGGGGTATCCCGTGTTGGTCAGAGCATGCCTTCTACTGAGGAGGGGCTGCTGCCGCAGAGCAGAGCTCCCTGGCCCAGAGCCGATCGGAGCTGCATTCTCCTCCCACTGGCAGCATACTGGGCAGGAGCGCTGGGAATGAGCTTTAGAAGATGCTTTAGTTACTCCTTGGAGTGTCTTCAGGTAGCAGAGATTGAAAAGGGAGCAGTGTGCAGCTAGGAGGTCATTCCTTTCCATCCCTGGGGAGGGGATGATTTTGGTTGGATGCATTCCATGCCTCCTCTTGTCATCTTCCCAAAACCATCCTCCCACACTGTGCTGGTGGGGAGTCTCCACCCTGCTGCTTGGTGTCTCTGCTAGTGCATGAAATAACCTGTCTGCTTTGGAAACTTTTCCTTCCCCGTTTTCTGTGGTCCTGCAGCTCCCTGTGGACCTTACCCCTGGCCAGATACGCTGCAACAAGCGAGAGGTGGTGCTAACACGGGGAGCAGAGCGTCTGACCACCCGGGAAGGCAGAAGAAAGCTTTACAACTACTTCAGCTCCTTTGAGGGAATTGGAGGCTTCCAAGACCACTTTGACTGGTGAGAAAGAGGGCATTGAGGAAGTGGATTGGGCATTATCTTCTTTCCTGATGGATTCTCTTAGTTTCTGGGATAACTCTTAGTTTTGACTCCTTTATGATGTTGGGGTCTCTATCACTTAGGCATTCCCCATTTTGCCTCTGGGCAGCCTAATGGGACTCACACCTTTCCTGAGGTCCCCATCCCCTGATGTACCTCCTGCTTTTCTCCAAAGACCACCTGATTTGTCACCTTGATGCATAATGCCTCGTTCCTGTGAGTCCATGGACAGCAGGACAGAACATTCTCTGTCCTGCTTCCCTGGCTCAGAGGGTGCCCTGGGCCTGCAATACATCTGCCATTATCTGGGACCTGTTACCTCTCCCTCCCCTGACTGTTTCTTCTCCCGCTTATTGTTTCAGGTGGGCCAGAAATCAATTCTCTTCCCAAGGTGGGAAGCCCCTGTGGATAGACCCCCATGATCCTGACATTCACCACATCTTCATTGATGACAACATCCGGCTGGACGATGGAGACACCATTGTTCACCCACAGGTAGGTGGCTGAAGGCCTCTCTGGCACCAGCAGCCTGCACTAGGGGTATCCCTGACAGGGTCAGAAATGTTTTGTCCCCTTTGCATGAGGCTGCAAAGTGGGGGTCAAGGCATAGCCCTGGTGTCACTCCATTCTGTGCCACAGGTGTCGGTGGCAGTGATGCACAGGGAGGGTGAGATCAGCCATCAGCAAATGCACAGCAGGTGCTGGCTGCCTCTGCTCCCCACTGACTCAGCCCCGTGCCTGGAGGCAGCAGCAGTGATATCAGGGCTGCCAGCCCTGGCTGTCACCCATCTGAATGAAAGGGCAGTGTTTCTGGGGAGCATACTTAGGAAACAGAATGTTTATGCAGACAGAACTGTGCCTGCCCATTGGACAGCTGTCAATGCTCAAACAAGAGCTGCAGGGGCAATCCTTAGTCTCTGCTTGTTTCCATCCATATGGAGACAGTGCAGGGGGGAAAACGTGGCAGCCAGTGAATTGTCTGCAGTTTTTGCCTCTCAGCCCGGGAATGGCAAGGGGTGGGATGCTCATTGGATATTCCCTTCCATACGAGTTCTTTCAGCTTGCACATTTGTAGCTGGTGGCAGGAATTGTTACTGCCTGGACACACCTGTCAGGAATAGGATTTGGCCTGTGCCATACCTGGTTGAGGGGAGCCTCTGCAATGGCTGCTGCATGCAGATCTGCAGCAGCTGGAGCATGGCTCACACAGCTACACTTGCTGCATTTCAGCCTCAGGCTATTTGGCTGATCAAGGAGTTCCTCCTTTGGCATTCGTAGCCTGTGCAGCTGGTCAGGCTGCTCTGCTAATCTCATGGCAGCCATGCAGCCAGCCCTGGGGCTGCTCCCACGCTGGATCACACAGGTTAAGGTAGCAGCAGGCCTCGTGGGAGCCTGGGCAGCAGCCAAGCATCTTCCCAGCAGGGCTCATCGTCACTGCTGGGACCTTGCTGTGCTGCAGCCAGGATCAGTAGGTGGAACCCTGCTTGTGTCACTAGCTCTGCAGGGCTGTCCCCATGTCAGCAGTGGTGACAGAGCAGCACTAGGAGTGAAACAGATTGCCAGGTGGTTTTAAACAGGCCGTAGTGAAGACCAGAAGGTGCAGTGCCTGTTCCATCCTATGGCAGCTAAAGGAAGAGCTGTTGGCAAAGGTTTGCCTGGAGTCAGCTGCTCCACAGAGCCATTTTCTTCTAGCGGCATGGTGTGGCCTGTTTCCTTAAGGGAGTACCAGGCACATGTGACATGCTGGTTCAGAGTCAGAGGCACTTTCTGGGAGAGGGAGAAGTCTCAAGAAACTTCACCTTCTGCTGTTGCAGTGGAAATAGAATCACTCTGCCCCTGACACAGCCAGCATGGAGGCACCTGGCCGGGAGGAGGGGAGAATGCACCATGGGGCATGTACATTACTTACTGCCAGGCTCTGCTCTCCCTGCAGGTGTTCTCAGAACAGGGCAGCAGCAGTCCCAGGACCGTGCCCACCTCGGAGTTGTACAATGTTTGCCTGGTGCAAACCAATCTGCTGGAGGCCATTGCTGATGAGGACTATTTCCTGCACTGTGTGAGGAGGTGTGAGGAGAACTACGACCGCTACCTGGCCTGCATGGAGAAGGACACCCCAAGCCAGCAGTGGGATGGACAGTGATACCACCTCATGGGACTGAGTTGCTCCAGACTGGGTCACCATCTGCTTCCTGCTGCATGCAGGCAAAGTCCCAGGCAGGCTCCTGCTTCAAGCTGTTACGTCTCCAATGTTCAGTGTGGGCGTTCAGTCCTATCAGGAGTTTCCATGAGCAAACAAAGTGTCCTGGGAGGTTGTGTGATGGGATTCTTGGAGGAAATTATTTTCCATTCTTTGGCAGTGTTGCCTGTCGTGCCCACTTCTGCGTGAGGGCTGGGGCTCACCGTCCTCTTGCAGTCGCCAGGCAGGTCACTTCCACCATACTGTGATGCAGGCAGCCTCGCAGTGTTTGCACCTCCCAGCTCCTGCAGTGATGGTGCAGAGCAGGTGCCAGGATGAGTGCAGTGTTATCAGCTACATCCCCAGGTGGCATTTGTGGTATGGTGTTCTCGGCGGATGCCTTGTCACTTCTGTCTGTTTTTAAAGCAAACCTTTTTAGCTCATTTCTGTGTGAGTTTCCTGCCTGCCCTTGGCTCTGCCTGTGCTGGTGGGTGGGAAGTGCCTTTCCCAGCGTGTTCATTTGCCTGGCTCAGCCAAGTGGGGACAAAAGTGTTGGTGGAGGTTTTGAGACCCATGTGCACTTTTCCTGATGCTGCTGAGAGACCCCAGCAAGGTCGTGCTCAGAATAGGTCTGAGCTCATATTCTGTCCCTGCAGTGGTGACAGGACTGGGGTCCTTTCCAGAGTAGGACGGTGGGTTCCCGACTCCTTGATCCCGGCACTGTGTGCCTCTGGCACCGGCAGCGTGAAGCAAGGGAGGGCAGAGCCACGGTCTCTCCAGCCACTCTCCCTGCGATGGTTCCTTCCCGTCAAGGTGAACGCGGCAGAGGCACGGCGGGCCGGTGGCACCGGGAGGGTCGGGCGGAGGGGAGCGAGGCACGGCAGGGGGGCCGGGGCGGACGCGGCGCCGCCCCCACTGGCAGCGGGCGGGCCCGGGGCGGGCGGAGGCGCGGAGCGGCGGGGAGAGCGGCGGAGCGAGCGGAACGGTGAGCGCGGTACCGGTCCCGGTCTTGGTCCCGCTCTCGGCGGCGGAGCGGGCTGTCCGGGCACGGCGGAGCGGCCGTCTGGGGTTGCGGGCGAGAGTCCGGGGAGCGCCAGGGGCGCGGGTATTGCAGCGGGAGCTTGGGGGACGTCGGTGCCTGCAAGCTGTGGGCGGGAGCCCTGTGGATGCGGGCTGCGGGGCAGTGCGCCGGAGCCCCGCGGATTGCGGGCTGCGGGCGGGAGTCCGGGCAGCGCCAGGGGTGAGGACGATGCTCTGAGAGCAGGAACCTGGCAGGGTCTGCATTGTGAACGGGAACCCTCGGCGGGGTACGGACCCGGGGGATGTGGATAGAGAGCCCCGGGCGCGCCAGAGTCCCAGTGAGTGCAGGCTGTGTACCGGCAGCACCGGGTAGTGGGAGGTGTACCGAGGTGCGGGAACCTCGGGAAGCAAGAGCGCTGGTACGTGCGGGCAGCGAGCCCCAGGGAGGGACGGGGAGCCCGGAGGGGGTGGACAGGCAGTCCCGGAGTGCAGCGCGGAGCCCTGCGGAGCAGGAGCTGTCGCACCGCCAAGGGGAGCTGGCTAGCTGGGGCTGGGGGAGCGGCGGGTGCTTGGGTTCTGACTCGGATGCTCTCCCCGCAGGAGGCCGTGGGCCGGACCAGTGCCGAGCCGGGCCGGATGGGCGGCACGGCAGGGCCAGAGCCCGGGGACCTCCGGGGCGGCTGAATTGGCCCATGGCGGCGGGCGCGGGCGCCTTCGCGTGGGCCACCTTCCCCTCCATGCCCACGCGGCGCGTGTACTGCAGCGCCGCGCACCGCGACGGGCAGCTCTTCGTGCTGGGCGGCTGCGGGAGCGGCGGGCGAGCCCTGGGAACTGCTGAGGTACTCGATCTGCCAACCCAGCGCTGGACCACTCTCCCACCACTGCCCACGCCGCGGGCTGGCGCTGCCGCCCTCGCCCTGGGCAAGCAGATCTTGGTGGTGGGCGGTGTGGATGCGGCACAGAGCCCCCTCGCCTCCGTTGAGGTCTACCACGTGGATGAGGGCAAGTGGGAGAAGAAAGCAGCATTGGCTCAGCCCTCCATGGGCATCTCAGCTGTGCAGAGAGGTGAGGGATAGCAACATGTTGTGACTCTTGCCCAAAGTTTGCTGAGCATCCTTGGAGTCTTGCCACAACGCAGCATGCCAAGAACCAGGGTTGGTCCCCCGTGTCTGCTCCCTGGACAAGGATGCTGTGGCATGGACCAGGCTGCAGTGTGGTGGGCAGGGCAGAGGAGATGTCAGGACAGTGATGGGAATGGGCAGGGGTGCCGGCCGCACTGGAAGCAAGAGCAGGATTTGGCAGTATGGCTGTGTTGCCATGGTGTCTCCAGGGAGATGATACTGCCGAGAATAATTAGAGAGGATGGCCTTGTGCTCTTCTCTCTGCCTGATGGATGGGATGGAGAGGGGGGCGAGAGGGTCCCAGTGCAGTCAGGGCATTGCTGGGCTCAGGCCTGGCTGCACTCATTATCCCCCGGCTGCCCTGGAGCAGTGTCTGGCTGTGAGGCTTGGCAGTACTCGTGCTGCCTGCCCTGGAGGGCATGGGGGGACTCCCAGCCCTTCAGTGCTGCCCACAGATCCCTCTGACTCTCTACTGCCTCTTTTCCAGATGGGGCTGTCTATGCGCTGGGGGGAATGGGTGCGGACACCTCTCCCCAGGCACTGGTCCGTGTCTATGAGCCGGCAAAGGACCACTGGCAGCCCCTACCCTCCATGCCCACCCCATGTTATGGAGCTTCTGCCTTCCTCCAGGGAAACAAGATCTTTGTTCTGGGTAGGTGCTGCTGGGGCAAACCGAGCATCTCCTGTGCCTCTACCCTCTAGTTCCTCCGTTCCCAGGTCAGAGAATGACCTGGTGCACCTCAGGGTGGCTCCATGCTGCCCAGCACTGCAGCCAGTGAGCCCCATCCTGCTTGCTGAGCACACTAATAGTGCCAGCTTGGGGCACTGGGAGCTATATGTCCTCTGTGTATAGGAGGCCGGCAAGGCAAGCTGCCTGTCACCGCCTTTGAAGCCTTTGACCTGGAGACAAGGAGCTGGACACGCTACCCCAGCGTGCCCAGCCGCCGCGCCTTCGCCGCCTGCGCCATGGCTGATGGGGTTGTCTTCAGCCTGGGAGGGCTGCAGCAGCCAGGGCCCCACAACTTCTATTCCCGTCCCCATTTTGTCAACACCGTGGAGATGTTTGATCCTGCACAGGGTGAGCTCTATGTCTCTCGGTGAGGTGGGAGCATCTTCTGTGGGTCCAGGATGACTCTGTGGGTTGGTGAGGGGTGTCTGTGGGAAATGAGTATCTGGGCTCTGAACATCAGCCCCTTTCACCCAGGTGAATCCTGCCCTGTGCTCCCTGCTCCCAGGGAGTGATTAACCTGGGGGTGTCCTAGCATTGGTATGTAGAGGGGAAACCCCAGCAGACGATGCTTACTCCCTCTCATACCCAGGTGTGTGGAGAAAGCCAAGCCGCACCATCCGTATGAAAGAGAAGAGAGCCGACTTCGTGGCTGGATGCCTGGGAGGAAGAGTGGTGGCTGTGGGTGGCCTCGGTAATGCTGGGGGTAGGCTTGTGGCCGTGTTCCCATCCCTATTCTTTGTGGCACAACAGTGATCGGCATGGCAATAGGGAGGTTGGCTGTGCAAAGCCAGGGGGTTACTGCAACACCGTCTGCAGCAACGTCTCCGTGCGCTCACCGGTGCTGGGGAGACCCTACTGCTCTGTCCCACTGGCTGACCCACTGTGCTCCTTGTCCCTTTCACCCCCCAATCAGGCTTTTCCCAGCTCATGTGCAGCATGCTGGGCTCACACAGCACATTGTGGCTCAGCTCCGCTGTGCAGGGTTGCAGTGCTGCCTGCATTCCTCTCCCAGGAGAGATGGGGAAAGGTTAGTGCTGTCACTCAGCAGAGGGGATACAGCAGGAAGGGCTGCCTGGGGAGCCTGGTGCCAGCCACAGCATCCCAGCTCTGCAGTGAGGGCTGCCAGACTCCCAAGATCGTTGTGGGAATAGGGAATGGTGCTGGCTGCATCCGTGCAGTGTGGCATTGCTCCCGAGTCCTGCTGCAGCCGGAGCTGCCCTCCCTTATCCCTGCAGAGTGCTGGCATGGGGAGGGGGGAGGATGAGGAATGGCTGAGGGGGCAGAGTTAGCAGGTGTGGCATTAGTGCCAGCAGCAATCCCTATGGGGACTCTGGTAATCCTCATGTGCCCTCACTAATTGCCTCTGGGATCTCAAAGCCTGTGCCGCTTAGGGGTCTTGTTGAGGCATCAAAGGGATGTGGAGGGGGAAAGGCAGAGCCTGGGGTGGGGGGCAGGGAGCCACACGGGGGCTGATGTCATTCTGTCTTCCACAGGGAACCAGTCCTGCCCACTGGACTCAGTGGAAGGGTTCAGCCTCTCACAGAAAAAGTGGGAGCCACTGCCCCCCATGCCCACTGGCCGCTGCTCCTGCTCCAGCTGCCCAGCACCCAGCCTGCTCTTCATCATCGGCGGTGTGGCCCAGGGTCCCAGTGGCGCTGTTGAGGCTCTGTGCCTGCGTGATGTGCCCTGAGCAGGACCCCGAGGACCTGCCCTGGCCAAGCACCAAGTGCCTGAAGACAGGGACAAGGTGTGTGAGCACCTATGTGTTCACCCAAGGTGACCTGGCTCCAGGAAACCTCTGTCCCATGATGCCAGGCACCAAAGCAGCTGTGGTTTTGGGAACTCCCAGCTCCTGCAGCGCTGTGGCAATGAAGCCCAGGGCAAACTCCTGCCTGGTGGGATGGCCGTCGCCAGCAGTGTGGAGGGAGCAGTGGTGGCAGGACTGGCGCTGGCCTCACTGCCCTGTCCGGCCCCATCTGTGCCACGGCGTATCCGTGCCGTGTGTGTAGCAGTGAGTGCTGTGTCGTCGTAGACCCAGTCGATGTCTCATGTAGCACAGAGGTGCCCTGTAGCTCAGTGCCTGGGAGGTGATGTGTAGCACCTCAAATAAATGAAACGTGGAGTTTTATCCCTCTGGAGTCATGTCGTTTCTGGTTATCCTACTCCGGGCAGACACATGCCTGTCAGGAAAACTCTTCCCAAGGTAGAGTTCAGTGACCCCATACTGTGGAGCTGGGGTAACTCTTGTTCTTCCCACCTCCAGGGTGAGCGGAGCAATGTGATGTAGAGATCCAGTCCCTATTTGGAGAGGGGGAGCTAAGCAGTGGCTGTCCTGCCTTGGCACAGCCTTGTTCCTGCTTGGCCTCCTGTGGGTGAAGAGGCTGTAGGGGGTGAAGGCAGCAGCAGGAAAGGGACTTTTTTTAAGAGAGCCAGCATGTGAGAGAGGCAGGGAATGTTGAGGGCTGCCAGGATACTGAGAAGAAATAAGAGATGCTTATTGTCAGGGTTTGTGGGCCCTACCACCACCACAGCCCCATCTCAAAGGATGGACCTTGGCTGGTGTGGGGGAGAGCTGGGTCCAACTGTGTCCAGCTTCTGTAGCCAGGAGCACTGCAGTCCTGCTTACTGGCAAGCAGGAAGGGAATGTAAGCTCCAAACCGGTGGTGTCTGTGGGTGGTGTTTAGGGATGGACTGTGAGATCAAGGGGGGTGACACTTGAATTACCCAGTGCAATGGGCTCACCTGAGCTTTGCTGCTCTTGGCTCCACACAGAGTCCCATACCCAAAACAGAAAGCAGATGAGGGATTTGATCCTTCATTGGTACATTAGAAAGATCTCACAAGTCCATGTAAATATCAAGTACAGATGCCTGACCTTTCAGAGAAGACAGCCAGCTTGAGCCTCGTGCTGGCCGTAGAGATAGGACACTGAATCCCATCTGAGTGCGACAGCATCTGACTCCACTGGGGCAGGCTGTGCCATGTCCTGGGGGCATCACAGCATGGGAAAAGTCAGAAATTATTCATAAAAGAGCATTCAGAAGATATTTTTGTGTTTCTGCTCCATTGCCTCTGGTGCCTACCTGACACAGTGACTGCAGGGTCCGTCCTGATGCACTGCATGACTATTTGCCTGTGATTTGGGAGGAACAACTTGGGATACCTAGGCTGATGGTACCTCAGCTGGAAGCATCTCTGCATCTGCCTCTGGAGTTGCCATAGAAACCACCGTTGTGCCAGAGCCAGCATCAACAGTGAGCCCCAAATTAGAGCCGGGAGGATGCGCTGGCAGCTGGGGAGGAGGTCAGTGATTTGTGGTTGGGGGCTGGACAGAGGAACACGTCCTCTGAGCACAATGTGCTCCAGCCTTCTATGAGTATTTCACAGCACTCCCTGGCCTGTGCTCAAACCCTAGTGGGCTTGTCCTTCTCAGGGTCCTGGAAGGTGATAGACCCCTTGCTCCCACTTTGGTATGTCTCCCCACCCTGACTGCTCTTTCCAGAAGCCACCAAGGCATGTAAGAATTCCACTCCTGCTAAACTTTTAGTCTTGAGGGACCCTAAATCATGGAGCTGCATTGGAAACACAGGCCTGATTAATAAGCTTTTCCCACAGGAGCATTGCATGAATGGGATAAATCAAGATGCTGAGTCACCAGCAAATTGACATCCCTATGTGCCAACTTCACAAGCTCCCTGCTGCTGATGGAGTGCCCAAGGCTACTTTTTGAAATTCAAGGCGGTGGCAGCTGCAAGAGCCAGAGGATGCTGGAGGGGGAAGCTGGAGCTCAGGAGTCCCTCAGTGTTGTGGTGTTTCCAGCAGTGAGGCTGATGATCCCCTCCCCACAGGAGTTTGCCCCTCTGTCAGCCGCACTTTGCCTCCTGCAACACTTTCATGGCACGTTGACCTACTGGAGTGCCTTTTAGCTTGGCTTCTCCACCTGAGTGGAACAGGAATCTGTGACCTCTCATTTAGTGTGGATTTCTCATTCTTTTCTATTTCTGCTTTTGAGCACAAGACCAGGATCCCATTTAAATGGGGGGAGAAAACTTACCAGGAAAATGTTCAAGGACATCTCAGGAATGGAGAGGTAAGGCTCCTGACCACTTTTGCAGACTGATATGTATTAACTTAAGAGCTCCTGTGAATTTCTAATGAAATGTGGTATGAAGTTAAAAAAGTTGAAGAATGTACCAATATTGCTGTCTATCTCCTGGAAGCTTCTGCTAATTTTTACTAAAGGAAAGACTACAAGTATCTGGCTACCCTCCCTAATACTAGAAGCACAGACTGTTATTTCAGATATAAGGAGAGCTATGAGCCAGCTCCTGGCAACGTGGTTAATCTCTCCAGAGCATGTTATGGATGGGGGAGATGGAAATGGAGGTAGCTGTCAGACCTATAATTAAAAAAATGTGTTTCCATATAGAAATTTCTTTCCGTTGTCAGGAGAGATGGAAACACAAAAATGTCATTTATCATATTCCAGAAACTTGCTAGACCAGAAGGCTCCAGCCACATCAGAAATAGGAATAGCTCTTTTTAAGTACCTAAAATAACACGTTGAGCCTTATCGCCAGTGCGCACAGCACCAGCAATTCCTTTTCTAATGGCAATGAAAATACTGCAAATGGGCACTGGACCTCTACAGTCTCTTCTGCAGGGAGATCTGGGCCAACTTTTCAATCATGAGCAATAAAATGTTGGAAAATCACTGTTCATGATGCCGGGCCATATAGGGCCCAGATGCACAGCAAGGCTCTTGGCAGTAGTGCCATGTACTGGCCTGTACAACAGAGCTGTAGGCAGTTCAGGAGCAGAACAAGGCTTTTATTTACTTAAAAATCACCAAAAAAATCAACATTTCCATCAGCTTGGCACCCTGGAGGAAGGTTTGCCTTCCATATCACAGCTGCCTTGGACAGCCCAGCCACTACCTCATCCCTGAAGTAGGAACACAGTCCAAACTGCAACTCCCTACTCTGGTCCTAGAAAATCTACCCATCAGAGCCTTCTCATTTTGCTGGGAGGTATCAAGCTGCCTTAATTAATCCAAGCTATTTAAACCAACTCTAGTGCTTTAATGTCAAGCAAAGCAATGCAGAGAAATCACTCCAATAAGTTTTTTTATGGGTAAAATGCTAGAATTTTATTTTTTTATCTAAAGTGAAAGCTTTATCTACATGGGATTTGATTAGGAAACCAGATATATACATCAAGAAAGCCATTATTTTGACATCCCTGAGCTCCAGGCTGCCTTTAATACTAAAGGCAAAAGAGAATAAAGGGGAATGTAAGTAATCCGCCTGATCTATCCATGAATTTATGTCAGCCTTATTTCTGCAGTGGTTTAGTGCTTATGGAGTATCTTCAGAGCCAGGAAACAAATATTTTAGCTAGTATTGAAATAGTTTTAAATTAAAGGAGGAAAAAATAGCAAGCAAGCATGCCTGTTTTACATTCCTAAACATGGGGGTTACGGAACCACAAGGCAAAAAATCCAGTAAAACCATATTTGAGAATGTTTCTTTGGGGAATGTTTAGATGGTGGTTATTTTTGTCGTACTGCTGATGGATGAAATTAAATCCTTCTGCATTTCTGACAGAGGTATTTACATGAGAGACCACACAGCCTCTGGAAATGAGGGAAATGGGTGCTGTGGCTGCCATGCTCCCATGGGAGCAGCCTTCAGTGTGCCAGGTTCCAAGTTTTTCGGCTTTCTCTTCCTCCCAGTGTCCTGCGATGACCTGTGCTTCCAGGTGAGGGGCAAGAGCTGGCTTGCAGAGCTGGGACTGATCCAGGGTCCATGGCCACAGGGTGAGATCCAGAGACGGCCCCAGCCTCAGTGTGAGATCCAGGGACTCTCAGCTCTGAGGTGACCACAGGGACCCTCAGCTCTAGGGAAGGAGCCAGGGACACTCAGTCCCAGGGTGACTCCAGGGACCCCCATAGGACCTTGAGGTATCTCAAGCCTCAGGGTGAGATCCAGCCTTGTGAAATCCAGGAACCTCCAGCCCTGGGATGAGACACAGAGACCCCCATAGGACCCTCACGCCTCAGAGTGCGATCAGGAACTCTCAGTTTGGGGTGACCCCAAGGACCCTCAGACCTAGATTGACCCCAGGGACCCTCAGCCCTGGGGTGAGGCCCAGGGACCCTCAGCCCTGGGGTGAGGCCCAGGGACTGCCCCAGGGCACCGAGGCCCCTCAGGCCCAAGTTTTGGCAGCATCCCAGGCGTGTGGAGAACCCAGGCCAGGCCTGCCCTGGGCCTGCAAGGCTGTGTCCCCCTGGGCTGTCCCCACAGCCACAGGACACAGGTGATACTGCCCTGAGTGGGGTTGGTCATCTTATTCCATCTCCCTCCTCCCTGCAGGGCACTGTGGCACCATGGTTGCTGCTGGCAGGGAGATGCCATGAGGGCTGGGGCCAGGCCATGAGGCCCGGGGCCATGGTGTTGTTTAGGGGCTCCCTGCCGGGGTGTCAGCCCTGAGAACAACATGAATTTCAATGTCTGGAACATCAAGGAGATGCTGAGCACACCAACAGCCCTTGGGTGAGTGTGAGTGGGGGGAAATGGAGAAGGGATGGGGTATAAAACCAAACACTTTGCAGGGGTGATGGCAGTGAGGTGAAACATGTCCAGAACTGATCTGTGGCTAATTAGGGAAATCTAATGTGAGTTCATTAGCCTGCCCTGGGTTCATATTTATTCCCCTAGCCTGCCAGCACTGCCATAGATCCGCCATTGGTGAGAATCTAAAAATCAGCATGGGCTGGAGGCTGTACCCTTGTCCATTCAAGGTGCATTTGGGGAAGCCCTGTGAGCTGTCCTCATCTCGTTAGATAAGTTAAGTGTTCCTCTTGCCTGTGTAGAGGGCAGATAGAACGAATCATGATGTGCAATATTATTGCACATTATGTAACTCAAAAATTATTCCATATCCTGCATTTATACACATGGCTTGTTTTTTTTCCCAGCAGAGGCTAGAATTCCCCACATCTACAATCTACAGTGAAACAACAAATATTCAGATGTAAACATCTGGAGAGCAAATATGTAAGACAAGCTGCAATTTGTACTTCAGAGCATCCTTTATATCACGTGGCTAAAAAAGGCAGTGGGACTC